CCTCCTCCCTGCCGCTGCCTCCACGCAGGGTGTGGGCAGAGCCGCAGCGCAGCTCCACAGCCCTCGATTATCAGTCCCCAGCAACAGCTGTGTATATTCGCTAAGAATGTAAAGAATATCAGAAGATAATGCAGCATTGCTATTTATTACCCTATAATTAAAGTTCTGACAGTGTTTCTATTATAAAACCTTATTTGCAAGGGTTCATAACTCAGAGGCAAAATTTTCCTCCAAGATGAAGCCTCGCTTAGCAGGCTGAATCACTTAAAAAGTATTTCAGTTAAATAAGGTTAGCCTATTAGAGGGTAAAATTCGCAAGGACTTTCATTAAGGTGCTCATTTATATCTGTAAATAAAGAATTGCCGAGGCCCCAAATCAAGGATATAGAAGAGGAAAATATTTTTGCAAAATCAGGGATTGATGGAAATGTTTTAATATAATTCTCTAGGAAATTATTCCCATGAAAACAATTTGTTTGAAAGAAAATGCCCTCCAGCCTTTTCCACACAAACTAGTCTTGGGCTAGTACATGAGAACCAAACTTAAAAGTGACTATGAGCAGAAATGAGACCGACTAATTCATTTCAACTGTCCTTACTGGAATAAGAAACAAAGAGTAAACAGCTCGAACGGGGAAAGGTGAATTTAATTTTCAAGGCCCTGTAACTTTTAATAATCTGAGGAACAATATGGGAGGTACGTTCTACCCTCCCAGTTATCCTGAGATAAATTCATTCAAGATTTATATTGGTGTAATAGAGAAGCAGAATTTGCTCCATGGCTTCTAATGAACTGCTGGCTCGGTCTTTAAAAATGCAATTAGAAAAATCTAGCCTCCTAATTCGGAACAGCTTTGAGCTAAGTCAGAGGTCTCGGCGCTGCGAGCGCGGGTGAAGCTGGGCTGCCGCGCGGCTCCTCGCGGTGCCTGCAGCACGAGAGAGCGGGGCCGGGAGCGCTGGAAACGCTTTGCAAAAAAAAAAAAAAAAAAAAAAAAAAAAAGATATTCCCTGGTTATTTTAGGATTTTCTTTTCCATTAGACGGCAAAAGACAATTCTCATGTGGAATAAACCTGTGTTTCCTGTGATCTCCAACGCTAAGACAAAAGGATTGGGGGATTAGGTGCCTGGCCTGCTATTGATGCAGGAGGCGAGGAGCCGTCTGGTAGGAGTCAGCGAAACCCTCTGCGCTTCAGCCGCGCGCCGCGGCTCCCAGCAAAGGGCTTGCAGTCGCGGTGTCAATGCAGGCGAAACATCAATAAATATGAAAGTAAGTCGGGGCTAATTCTGTCATTTTACTCTTAAGATCAGGTCTGTGCATTCTCAGATTACTCATGTGTGGAGGAACAACGGGACCGAGATCCCAATTTGCCTCTGTGACCTTTTGAAGTGAAGGCTTTAAATGAAGCAGCGCAGAGCGGCTGGCTTGTTTGATCTTTGCAAACTGCGAGCCAAAACTCCTCAGGTTGTTTCGGTCTGCTGCGGCACCCAGCCTGGGCTGGGGGGGAAGACCACCGGGGGGGTAACAGGGCCTTGGCCCACCTGAGGCCTTGCAGCACCCCGCTGGTAGAGAACCCTGAAATGGGCCGGACTGGCCCCAAAAACCAGGCCAGCCTCCGGGACCTAGGAGACGCGGCAAGGATGTTTTCATGCTCCCGACCAGCTGTGTATATTCACTAAGAATGTAAAGAAGTATCCGAGGATAATGCCGCGTTGCTATTTATTACCCTATAATTAAAGTTCTGAGAGTGTTCCTATTATAAAGCATTATTCGCAAGGGTTTGTAACTCTGAGGCAAAATTTTCCATCGAGATGAAGCCTCGCTCAGACTAGCTAGGAATGGTTCAAATGTCATCGATCAATAAGTGAGACAAAGCTGGACATCACCTCGCCGAGGAGCTGGGTGAGACCTCCTTCAGCCTTGGGCTTGGTCAGGATGTGCTCTGGAGGCACCATCAGTCTCGAGTCAAAACCATCGGGTTTTGGCGTATCGCATCTCGTGGCACTACGTGCGCAGTCTGTTCGCCACAAGCCATGGCATGACGTTGCAGCATCTCCTCTTTCCTTTTATTGGTTTGGAGAGCAACTCGCTGTGAAACTTGGACCGAGTCACTTTAATCGTACCATGCCTCAGTTTCCCCAACAGTAAAAAATTTGGTCTAATTTGTTCTTGCTGGTGCAAGGTGTGATAGCCTCGGTGCAGATTTATGATGCTGTCAGATAGGAAATGCAAGAAGTTTTGCTACTTGGCTCTAGCAAATGTGACTACCACACCCATGCACGCTTCCCTGAGAAGACCACATTCAACATCTAGAGCCAAGTTGGGCTTTGATCGAGCAGAAACAGGGGGAAACCAACATATAAGACAGACGATTACTGCAAAATTACAACTCTGCAGTGCCAGAAAAATATCTGAACATTTACCATTTGCCACTGGATCTCCCTCGGCTTTTTGATTGATTAATAGAGCAATTTTAAAGAGAGCTACTGCCTGCTCACACTGAGAAAGGACAATTCAGCATCTTGATGGTGTCAGAAAAGATCCTCTCTCAGTGCTGACTGGGAAGCCAGGAGCTGCATGCGTGCCGTGGGATCAGCCTGAGCCTCTCCTCTGACATGGATGCAGTCCTAGAGCCCCACAGATTTTGGGCAAGGCTGGCACAGGAAAGATGCTCACCATCTCACCAATGAGCTCAACATGCTCACCAAGTTCGCCATCGGGTGACAGCCTGCTGGCCCGGAGAAAGAAACCACCCTGCCTGGTAGGAAGGAAGATGAAACCATACCTGTCCGTCAGGAGAGGCCTCACCAAGCTTTATGTGGTAATGACTTACCAAGAATCCTCTTCCTGCTTCTTCCCAGAACGGAGCTGAAAATCTTGGAATTGTCAGAACATTTTATTATCACTTGCAAAGCAGATTCTACTTCATCAGATAAAGACACAATTGCATTCATTGACTCTGACACAAGGATATGCATAGTGATAAACATACAGATAGATGTACACACTTATACATGAATGAGATATGCTAATTAAAAATTGCAGTGGGCACTTTATTAAAAATTTATTGTACAATCTACATCTTCAAAACATTTTACATCAACAAATATAGCAGCTTGACTGCTGGAATCATAAGTGATTTATCTTTAAAAGACTGTATTTGTAACTGGATGCAAAGATTCTTGATGAACGGCCGTTACATTTATACTACTACTTTTTATTGGGAGTATTTTGACTGTTATCTGTTTGTTCTCCATCCTTGAGAGAAATAAAACAAGTGTCTCAGCTTTCATTTTATCGGATAGATGGCACCATGTAGCATATTTCCCATGCTAGTTTGAATTACAGCTGTTTATCTTTCAGCTTTCTTTAAGATTAATTAAATGCAAATGTAACTCCGCGAATCATGGGATTACCTGCCAGACCCCTTATTAATACCTTCACTTAAAAACCCCTGTGCCAGAGAGTCATTAATTTGCAAAAAGAAAAGTGCTAAAGCAGCCCTTTGCCTACAAACAATTCAGAGATGGCTGCCCAATTAGTCCGGTAGCACTCGGATCCTCCTTTCAGGCCCTGTGGCCCTTTGAGGACACAATAAGGCTCCAATGATAACCTGGCAACCTAGGTAGAAACCCAGCCAAGTGTGAGCGTTTGAAGCTGCAGCTTGGCTGCCATCGTGTCGGCGAAAAGAAAGAATTCAGGCACCATGTCATCCAGTACAAAGGATAAAAACAGATTCAACCGGAAATTCAATGTGGCACCACATATGGGATACATGAGTGCGGTTATACAACAGGCCACATATTTTTTTTGAACAGTCTCCTGCATGTGATGCCGAGGACATGTGTAACCATCATAACGTCTCTAAGAATCTGTATTTAATTTGAGCTGGGGTGGTGGCAGGGATTGGAGATCTGAAGCCGCCACAGGTTTGTGGCAGATGGCTCTGTGTCAGCTATGACAAGCAGCCAGGCTCGGCTTCCTCTGCAGATTTTCTTTTCTCTCTGATCAGGTAAATATGGGCACACTCTGGAAACTTCCACAATTCTGCCTGAGGCTGCAAGTTTGTGACTTAGCCCCATCTGTCACAAATCTTCCCTCGGTTCTGTTGCGAGCAGAGACCTGAATTTACCACGGAGCGCTGCCCAAGAAAAGCCAGCCATCTCGCCCTACGAGGAAGCAGAGGAGAGATCACACGCACAACGTCAGCGGCTGCCGCAGAAGGGACGTCTCCGGCCTCGGGAGGAGCAGCGTGTGTGGAGCCACTCGTCCTGGGGACCAGCCCCGCCGCCGTGCCCAGCGCGGCCCCGAGAGGCAGCGGGAGGCAGCTGGAAGTGCCAGGCCGGATCCAAATTGAGCCCCGTGAAGTTGGTGGCGGCCCTGCTCCAGCACTTCCACCACCAAATAACACTTTTACTGGTGGGCTCTGCAGACACAGCAAGGACCGAGCGGGCGCGACCTGCCCCTTGCACCTCAGACCTGGCAGAACCAGGAACAGGCAGGAGAGAGCACTTAATTCCCCTGTGCCACCATCGCTGCTCTGGCTTTTGGCCTCTACTTCGGAGTAACCTCGGAGAGAATCAACTCCACTCCTTCTTTTGGAGGGGGGTAAGAGTGATAACTCTGCAAAAGTCTGGGCATTCATGTTTTCAAGGAACAGAACATGATTCAGTCAACAGTTCCTAAATATGCAGAGACAAAATCGTCATGAGTAGCAAAGTTTTCACAGTAAGCAAGATCTTTGTGTGAAGAGACAGCACAGTAAGTGTCAGCAGCACTGCAATATCTTCTATGATACAAACATTTTTGTTTCCTGTGTCCTCAGAGTAGAACAGAAATATTTAATATCTGTGCTGCCATCATTAGACTTCAGAGTTAACCTTCAGAGTTCAGGAAGGATGGTTCACCCGTTCAGACCTCCTGCTTCAGGATAGCTGGAGTTCAAGCAGGCAGTACTGATTTGGCATGCATTTTATGCACATTCTTAGAATTCCCCTAACAAAATTAAGAATCAATGATTATTATTCAGCACAAAACCTGAGACTTGGAGTGCGAGAAAGCAGAGCGATTTACAGAGCCAAATTGTGTCGGGTCAGCCTTACTCTGTGACCCACCTCCTTCCTCCTGTAAGTGAGTATTAGGGAGGAATCAAGGTGGAAAGCAGCTTGTAGTAATTACTTTTGGAGCTCAACTTTCAAACTCCAAGCACCTTTGGAAACCACCATCAAAAGACAGCATTGGTATACGTGAACTGGGTGCACTGTGAGGCCCGAGTCAGAGCTATATAATACTCCTCAGTAGGGTAATAGTATTTCCTTGAACAAACTGCAGTTTCTTTTATCAGCCTTTTAAAACTCACTTCTTTCTTTCTTCTGTGTTTAAATAAAAACATAAATGTTGGATGTGAATTTATGCAAGATACCCTTCCACTAGGAAAAGAAGGTTCAGAACACATTGAGCAACCACAACACTAAGAAAAGAGCTTCAGGTTTTCTTTCTCAAGGTAATGCAGATATACTTTACTAAAAAACAATTATTTTTCATGCATTTTGCAACTTTTCTGTCAATCTTAATTCCTTTGACCCACTTCTCCATCTACCATTTTGCAGTGGCTACAGTTCATCTACTTTCTAAAACTAAACTGGAAGCTATCTATCAATGTTATAATAAAAAGTTCAAAGTCCTCGTGTTGATGCTGAAAGATGCACACAGAACTGCATTCTTAATGAATGCTTTCTTCCTGCTCCATAAGCATGGCCAACTGCTACGAGCTGTAGACCAGGATTTTCAGAGAGCTTAAAGTTCCTTGATCTCTTGCCTTTGAGAGAGCCACAGCAAGGTAAGCCCTGAGAAAAGATGGAGTGGGAGCTTCTGCTTCCAGCAAACAGCTCAGGAACAAGGAGATACTCAACATAATATGTTTGGCTCCCAGAATGACCTAGCAGGCAACTTTTAACAGCCCCTGCTAGCTCATTGCTTCTACAGAGAACATCCACACAAGCCAGCAGAACTCACTCTACCAAAGGTGTTTTTGGACCCACGTGCAGTTTGTAGACCTTAGATTGACCTAAACTGCCTAAATTGTGTCCGTGGTCTGGCAGATTTTTCTACCTCCTAATCTAGCTAGGTGTTTGACTCTATCAGATATATGGGAATGAAAAATGTGACGGCTTCAATCTAACCTAGATACAACCCTCAGCAATTTAATCCATCCTGCTGTGAAGCTGGCCCTGCTTTGAGCAGAGGCTGGACCCAGATGACCTCCAGAGGTCCCTCCCCAAATTACTCTAGGATTCATTATTCTAAATAAGTAACCAAGGAATTCTTTCACATAAAAAATACTTGACTCATACATTTTACTTAGGACTCATCCTTAGGCAGCTCTTCCTAGCACCAACAGAGATGGGAGGGCATGAAGGCAGCATTTTCTTCATTTTCTAGCTGCTCTAACCTTCCTATACTGGCTCTGAGAGGCAGATTTAGACCATCTCTGAAACCACTTTAAATTATTCTCACTGGAAATTGAGCATCACAAGAGGAAAATACAAATTTCACACCTGTGCTTTCAGCCTACTTCTGTCCCGCACCTAATACCAACCAGGTATATGAAGCAGGAATTCAGCACAGGGCCTCCTTCTTTCCCTGCAAACTTTCTCTGCCACCAAAAGGAAAGTCAGCACGATGGGTGGGAATATTTGTACTACTCACACAGCCTGGAGAGCTCTAAATTAACTTTATCAGCTTGGGACAAAAGATCTGGAGAACACTGTAAGCAAACATCTGCTCAATATACATTCACGGTTAAAAAGTAAACAGTGTGTTTGGCTCCATAAGGAGCAGGTTGAAAATTATCACAGAGTACAACACATCACATAAATTGATGGCATGGCCTAGAATACTCTGTAAAGTAATGATCACACCAGCACAAAAACAGCTCTCAAGCATCAAAATGGCTTGAATGATAGGTGGTAAGAATATAAACACGGGATAACATTCACAAGGGGGGACTGAAAAGCCCAGGATACTGTAAGTGTTTGACAAATGTTTACAAAATAATGAATGGTATGGAAAAAATGGAGTGGGAACTTCTGCTACCAGGCGAATGACTCAAGAACAAGGAGACAGTGCAACTGAAGGTGGGACACTCTGAGCCAACCGAAGGAAATCTTTTAATGCCTATGTCTGTAAACACGGAATGAACTGCCTTGCTACAGAGAGCCAAGAAAGACAGCAACGGAGGTCTCCAGGGGCCTGAATGTCAAATGGAGAACTAGTACGCACAGCATGGAAATACTTCATACTAAAAGAAGAACATGCAAGATTATAAAATCTCCAACTCCTGGGTTAAGACCAATCTCTAATTCTAAAAGACCAAGAGAAGACCTTTAACACCCTATTTCTACCTGTGTCAGCCTTCTCTCTGATGCCAAAACCATGATATTAAAGTAAACACATGACATGCAGATCCAGAGGGGCAATTAGCATCCCTATGGAAAAATGAAGTTTTCAGGGAGTTTTTTCAGAGGGTGGTGAAGAAGTAAGGGCAGAGGCCTCCTCTCTGGCCTGTTCAAGGTCTACAGTTCTTGAACAAGGTCTCTTCAAGAGCTATGAAGAAATTTTGTTCCTTGCAATGGGGCTGAGTGGCTGATGCCACTAGCATGGGACTCTCCCAGGCCCCCACACGTCCAGTTCAATGTAACCTCACTGAGCTGCCTGCTCAAGTTGCTGAGGAGGCCTCCTGCCACCTTCCTAGCTGTGCCTGAATATTAAAGCTGGATCACAAGGGAACTCCCACCTGTTTTCCTGAAATAGCAAATATATTGCTTTATCTCAAATGGAGCAAAAAGAGGGGAAAAAACAAAGAAAAAAGTTTTGTTAGAACAGCCCTATTCAGCCAAATTCTGGGACTGGAAACAATTCAGATGTCTAAAGTCTAACAGGGATCCTAATTTGATTTTACAGCAGTTTAATCCCTTTGAATTCAGCACAGTTCCTTATCTTCTACAGTGGTGTAAGAAGGAAAAAAAATCACGCCATGTGTCTTTTCATAGGCAGGTGAGCTTCTGTAGTGTGATGGAAATGAGAAGATGAATGTCAGAAAGTGGGCCAAATTCTTTTCTCTGTTAAACAAGCATGAGTGAGAGTAGGATTTTTCTGCAGGAACTGAAGCTGACAGCATGTCAACCAGCACTCATTCAGCTGGGAGGGCTGGGAGAGATTATTTAAAGTTGTCAGCTCCTTCCATGCCTGGCTTTTGGCAACTCTTCTTGTCCCTTTCCACTGTATACTCTTTATACATGCTGTTTTAAATTAAGAAACTGAAGTGAGGGAACTGAAAGGTAAACTTAAAGAAAATAGTGCAGAAACAAATGCTTTGCCCTATTTATTTATTTTTTAAATCTACGAGATAGGACTCGGGGAGCTTGCAGACCCTGACAGGTCTTGTGGTGTGCTCCAGTGGAAACTGATGCCCCATTGTTGTTATTTGTTTCATTTTGGCACTTTGGCAACCACAAATAGCCAAAGAGGAACTCTTGATTCCATAAAACTAGAACAGAACAAATAATTGATAACAAATGAGGTTTTGTTTTCAACAGATCTTGATCTTCTGTTAACAACTGGTAGAAGGCAGCGTCGAAATGCAAATGAGCCGGCCCTGGGTGCTGTGAGAATACCCAGGGTAAGTAATGTATCATCTGGAAAGGTTTCTCTAGGTGCTTACATTAGGGGCATTTTTAAAAGTCTGCCAGCATGAATCTGCTCAGTGGAATTAAGCTATTACACTTTAATACACGGGTCTGTGCATTTTCACAGGGATATTCGCTGTGTCTGGCTCCCTAACCTGGCTGCCCCACTGCCATTCATCTTCCCCATGCCCCCAGCTTTGTCAGCACAGGCACTGAGGACAACTGGAGGAATAACTGCTTAATGAGACTGCTGTCTGCTTACTACGGGTATCCTTAGTAATAAAACACAATGTATGAAAAGATAACCCAAAGTACTTCTGATGCTGATTACCTTCTGATCTATAAAGCAGAATCCCCAAGCAGTAAAGAAAAGCATTATTTGCTTTTAAAGCAGCTTTACGTTTTTTTCCAAGACCGTACAGATACTTTAAGAACTGTGGTAGGGAGCGTGCCAGGAAGGTTTCTGAACGAGAAGTAGCTAGTTGGTATATATTACTGTGGTGGGGGCCCTCTTCTATGCCACTATAGCATATACTATTATACTATTCTGAAATAAGTGGGACTACAGTGGAAGCACTGTGTGCCCTTCATGATTTCACTCTTTTCAGCTTCCAAAAAAGAAGCATCATTCCAACCCTGGTTACACATGTCTAAGTTAGCATCTTCCTAGAAGGTTTACGGATAGTTTCATTGCAAAATAAAGACTTAGTGTACGTGGGTGTAGGTACAAAAGACAACTCTAACAGTATTCTCAGAGCTGAGCCAAAGCCTATTAAAGACAACAGGGATCTTTTCAATGGTATTCACAGGTTCTGGATTAGGCCCTGCTTTACTCATTTTAAAACAATCCCCATGCAGCTCAGTTCCTACCTGTTGCAGACACTGAGCACTCAGGACATCTGATGGAGCTGCACTGTTCATAGCACACAAGACCATTTGCAAAGGATAGAGTAAGCCCCCCCATTTCTGTAGTTGCACCCTGGCTACAAATAATTCCAAGTTTTGTGTTTTCTTTTTGTTGTTGTTGTTTTGTTTTGTTTTGTTTTTAAAGTATTTTTTTCCATAAGAGAATCCTTAAAGTAAATCAGTATTTTGGTTATGGGGCTTGTGTGGACACTGCCCTCTGTGCCGCATTTTAAACCCATACTGCTTCACATCAGTATTTGACCTGCCATTCTTTCCACTTTTGGTGTGCCAGCCCTGGCTTTTATTTAGGAGCTGGGGATCCACAAGCACAGAGAAGATCCACGTGAGCAGAACTGTTAGCTGAACTTGAAGCATTGGGAAATGTCAAGGTAAACGTTTAAGGACTGCTTCCCCTTTGAAGCCACCATGTCTAACTATACAATACTATTGACTCAAGAAGTAATGCTGAGCGCTGGAAGTGTTCAGTCAGCATTTTAAACTATTATGAGCTACCTTCTGAACCATTGCCAAGTTAATAGACAATGAAAGATAATGAGCTTGAAATTGGGTGTTAAATTGCATTTTTGGTTCTCTCCTTTTTTCTTGAAGTTTAACTGTTTCCTGCAGAAACAACATCATCTTTGATGTGTCATTATGTAAATGTCTATTTTTAGGTCACAAAAAAAGTCAAATGCGGGCTAAACTCTCCCTCCTGCTACATGTGTGCGCAAAAGGGTAGGGAGGCACACGAGACGCAGCAAGACCAAGACTTTCTGGTCCCCAGAGGGAGGAATGTGGAGAGATGAGGTTAGGTCTGCTGGCAGCATGAGCCTCCAAATTAGGAAGGAGATTACTCGACTCGCTCGTTAACAGTGTGCCTGGGTGGCTTCAGCCAAGGAATGCTCGAGGAGAGACCGCTTTTATATTGCACAGGTAACGCAAGCAGCATATCTGCCTACGCGCTCCCTCGAAGGACTTTCAGGTGAATCCAGGTTTTTACAAACGCTGCCTGGAATGCCTCTGTCGTGCAGGGGTAACATGTATCTACCCTGGTCACGATGCTTCCAGGGCTGTAAAAGTTATAACTGAACAGAAAATGCTGTAAGTTTGCATATCAGCATGCAGACAATAGCAGTTATTTTATAAGAGCAGTATCGTGTAATAATGATTTTTCACTGAAATAATATAAAAATTAGTGCTCTATCTACATAATTAAAAAAAAAAAGTGATTCCTAGCAATATAAATACACATCTTGAGAACACAGAAGTCAGTCTAGCATTGAACACTTGATCAAAATTCGAATGGAAGGTCTATCACTTAAACTGCATTTTCTCTACATAAATAGCTGCAAATAGGACATGATAAATACCAGTAAATAATGCTTCTAATCAACTTTTTTTTAATGCTCAACATAACTCAAAAAGCAAAGAATTAAAATAATCATAGCTATCAAAATAATTCAAATAATTCCAAAAGGCAGAGAAGTCTTACCTGGTCCCAGTCACCTGCATGTTTTGAGGACTGCAGATTAAATTAGTATAGGAAGGTAGGTTTATCCTCATTAGTATAATTGTAGGATCTTTCTTTTATTTTCCTTTTAAACTAATGAGTTACATTAATCCAGGTTCATTTTTATAAGCCTCTTGGGTCCAAATGTAAAGGACAGTCATTTTAGAAAACAATAAATTAAAAAAAAAAGCATGTAGCATGCATTAAGTGCACGTATTTCATAAGACCTAGGTTAATACAACTGGCATCTAGTTTAATTAATCCTTGTTAGTGTAACGACTAATATCCCTCCCTAGCATGTTTCCTTTAAACATTAGTATGTTAATTAAATGTTGTTTTTTTTTTTTTAATTTTTTTTTTCCTTTGTACCTCAATATGGCATTATATCACGTAAAACTGTTCTGAACAACTACCTTATAGAGATGTTTCCTTACAATATCTGGTCTCTTGCAGAAATTCTGAAGCCTTTTAAAAAGCTGTTCAGGTGTAGAATACAGATATTCAGCTGCAGGAAAAACAGATACATTTTTAATGAAACAAAAACCTCAAAGCACACACTCGATATTAGTCACTTTACTAATTAAAAATGCATATTGCTCTGTGCCGCCTCGTGTTTTACATTATTTAAGCATGATTTTATAAGGTTACCTCAGCTCACAAGGATGTTTAATGCTAAATAAGACTGTGTAGTTGTGCTGTTTAGACATCTCCTTTGGGTGATTAAAATACATTATTCTAATGTAACACAATGCATATGTGATACATTTAGTGATGAGATTTTTCAAAGAACTGGTGCTACATTAGTGTGTATCCTGTACCACGGTTGCATACTATTAAGTATTAAATTGTTTAAATAATTTGGTGTGATTTTCAGGCCTCTTTTTTTTTTTTTTTCTGTATCTCAAAAAAATCTGCAAACCATTGCAGCATCACTGACCTTTTAACAAAAATCTATCATTATGGGTTGTGTATGCTAACAATGAAGAATGCTATTTCAAAACTTGCTTTTGTGTTATCTTAAAAGAACAGATGGCAAATATAAACTTCGTCTAATGTATTAAAACACATAAAATTTTCCTTAACACTAACATGTTGGCTTGCCAAATAAACAATTGCTTTTGCTCAAGTTTATTCTCAAACTTTGTATTTTAGCGTGAATCATGTATTACTTTTCAGGAAAAAGAGTGAGCAGCAAAGCAGCTACCTGGAAATATCTCCGGGTACACCAAGGCCTTGGGACACAGTGGATAACAACCGCAATATACAGCTTCAACCCTGAAGATTAAAAATAATAAAAGCATGAACAGGACACTGGGGATCCAAAAACTTACTTTGGTGCAAGAGCGTAGAGGTTGACTACATATAGCACAAGTACAGCATTTTTCTGCTCAGCAGCTCAATCCTTCTAAATGCCAAAGTTGCTCTTTTTAAAGAAAATTTTATTGATCATATGAATTACATAGAACAGAACAGCGAGCATATGTTTTGTTCGCTGAATAAATCAAAGCGCAGCTCTGCATTTTTTTGTTTTTTAAATACTGTTTAACACATTTTATAATCAGCAGACAGACACATGTAACAACATGGTGAAGTATGGACGGCTTTTCTTAATAATACTGCAGAAAAACAAGGGCATGCATACGCACATTTGTATATATGTGTACGTATACACAGATGCACACAATCGCCCTTACCTGGCAGAGCAGACACTCGTTCAACTTTCCAAGTCCAAAGGTTAGAATTAAACGTAGCCTAAGAACAACTCTCGGTATGCTTTGGGCTGGGATCTTTTAGCTTATGCACATGCATCAAATGATTTCCTTTATTTTTCAGGTCATAAACTTTTCTTTTTTTAAAAAAAAAAAATACTGATGAGATTCCCCTGCCAAAGCCTGTTATGTTTTGTGGATTTGTTTTTTTAAGGAAAAATTTACATATCTTTTGTAACATCAAATCCAGATATTTTATAATTGCGACACAATGGCACGAAGTTTTCTAGTAGCAATTCTAAAGAAAAGCTATCCGATTCCTGTTTGCATTTTAATAACTGAATGGGTTAAGGCATCAAGTTTTCAGTTTATTTTTTTTGCATAATGACCATTGATCTGACATAATGTCCCTCTAAAGATACAACTGTAATTTCTGTTGGCCAGAAATTACACACTGAAATTCAAAACACTTCTTAAAATATGTTTATTTTATGAGAGTCTTTGAATTTCCTCCAACATGTTGACCATACGAGGACTTTATTTTTAACTTCAGTTTCCCTCGGTCCCCAGAAAAAATCCGAAATCTTGTCAGTGTTCACCTTTTTTATTTTCAGTGACAATCCAAAAGGCTCTCCCTACGTTCATGCACACATTGGCTTTGTTACTTTATTACAGGCATCCAATCCAGTCCATACTGAGCCCTGCTTTCTTTAGCTCTACTTGTTTTTCAATGGGCAAAAAATAAAATAAAGAATAACACAGTCAGCTTTCATGCTACAAAGCTATGCATATCCACAAAACCCAAAGATACACATTTCTCTGCAAATGCTTTTGCTAGGCAATGATTGCTAGTTTTTCCATAAACTTAAATTTTGTAATTTATGTTTTCATTTTTTTTTTTTTTAAATAACATATGCACTTCAGATTGCATTTTAAACATTAACAACGATTTCAAAGTGTACATCGTCTAGCACTATATTTTTTACCAAAGGGAAATGTTTCTGATGTGTGATTTAATTGATGATTTCAGTTCTTAAATATTGTGTCATATGTCAAAGCAAATAGATTTTTAAAGTTTTCTTTAATCTAGGAAAAAAAAAAAAAGAGTGAAACTGTGGACATTTCAGTAATAGCTCAGATCACTAAGTTATGTTAAAATATTTGCTTTTTAATCGTATCGTCTGCATGAAAAAAAAGAACAGCTCCCTAAAACAAAACTGCAGGCCAAGATGCAATCTGAGTCATCATCTGAGTATGCAATTTCCCCCTTACGAAAATCCTCTATCAGGATCATGAATTAGTAAAAGCAGAATTTAATGCTTCTGTAGTTTACTGGATAAAAGGTGAAATTTGGAAGTCTTTCGTTTGCAAATGATCCTATTTGCATACTAATTTTCCACCTTTCCTCCCCAAAGTTTACATGCACCCTCGGCCAGGTTCTCACCGCGGTGCAGCCAGTCTCATTGTACACTGTGCACCTTTAGATGCCAGGAGCTTGAGATCAAACTGAACTGGGCAGCGCATTCCCAGAACGCAGACAGAGCTTCAGACTGAACAGGGAAAGGGGAGCTTCGTAACTTCCATGCGTTTTTGCCTTTTCCCAGAAAAGTATCATATCATAACAATAATACAATTATTCTTCATTTCAGTCCTTAAGCACTACTAGTTAAATAATAAATAGAGTTCCGATTGATCTATTGTTAAAATGGCTAGTAAATGACCTTTTTATTCCAATTAACAAATCATCTGCTAAATCTATGAATCTTAATATTCAGATCTATTCACTTCAATTCATACAATTTATCTGCAAATAGTTGTTGGGCTTTTGATTCTAAATATAATTAGCTGATAATTTTGCTTGGCTGAATTACTTTTCTGGAGGGCCTGCTAAGGCTCTCAGTCGCATTATCTAGCAATAATGAATCTGATAGGTGAAATTTTTTACTGTAATGAGGATGAGACACAGTTGTGACACCTGAGTCTAGTAATAACAGAAGACTGCTAATTATCGACAGCACTTTTTTGTGTGATGCACAGAGAAAAAAAAATCCCTCATTATTAAAAAATAAAAAGTTACAATTATAAGTGACACCGGAGGAGAGTAAATAAAATGGAGTGATTAAAACATTGCTGCTTTAAGGGTGTTTTTAATTAAGTGGAAATGCTAATGTTGTCATACTTAGCAGATGGGATTAAAATTAGTTATTGTAAGTAACTCATATTTTATGTTATGGTTTCCACAGCATGTCTACAAGATCTAAGAAAGTGATACATTCCATAAGACATTTAAAAAATGAAATTCTCATAGTCTTTACAGCTCATAATAATGAACATCATG